TAAAAATAAGTTTCGCGTATAAACGCGTTCATCGTGCTTGCACTCTTAATACTTTAAATAACTTTTGATCCATATTTTAAAGTGTAATTAAGTAAAATATAATTATGTTAATTTTTTTGTTAACTTTATTTCAAAAATTTAAGATTTAAGATAAGAAAAAGGATCGATGTATATTAGGTATTCGTAAATCATATTCTTTCTGGAATTTTATGCTGTCAATATAAATGAATATTATACTACATATTTAATACTAATTTTTTTTTAATATCGAATACTTGAATACCAAATACTTAACGATACTATTTACGCCATCTTGTGCTGCATCATACAGACTGCAATCGCATTCGCAAGATGTGGCGGCCTCTGCAAGAATGAGATGGAAGCACATATTGTTCCGCTTCCAAGAGAAATATTGACCCATTTTAAAACCAGCAACTCGATAGACACTTATATTTATCATTTATTTTATTACATAGATTTTAGAATCAAATGTGCATAAATTACTTTTTTCTACGCATAAAGTTTTATTATAAATTTACTATTTACTATTAATTAATATAATTTTTTAAAAATTTATTCGTGTGAAAATAATTATATCTTGATTATAATTTAAAAAAAAAAATAACTTTCTGATAGATATGCTTGCAGATTTTTAATGTAATTAAGAATAATCGCGAGAATATCAAAAGCACTTTGCATCTCCTAAAGTGGCCTCGTTAACTGATCACTCTTTAGTACTCAAGATGAAGTGTCACGAAAAATAATAGTTTCGAACGATAAATCATAGATACTCGAGCTCTTCGAGCCGCGAAATCTTTTTATCGCCGAGCGCCTCTCTTTCACAACAATTTAACTCCGTCGAGTGCCGCGATCAATTTGCATGATCTATGATCCCGAACGCGATCGTACTCGGCTCTCAATTATTCACCTAAGCCGTTTGCGACGACGTTCCCCTTCTCGCCAGGCGTCGACGTCTCTCAAGACGATTCGCACGGAGCACGCAATTAGCGTCCGCAAGCTGCTTAATAATATAACGGTCAATTTGCCGCGATTAGTCGGCGTAATGATAGTTCCCTTGGATAATTTATTGTTAATTATTCTCGGCCGCGGCGCGCTCTCGCATACATATGTGTCAGTCAGGCGCCGACAACTAAATTGACAACTAATTGAAATATTGCTCACGCCCGTAATCAGCGGAAAAATTATCTCATAATGTTAGAGCTCGCGCGAGTACTTAAACTCCCGCTTCCTCCCTGTGTCTTTTCCTACCCCAACCCTTTCTCAATCGCTGCCGATTCATAGAATAAATAGATTCTTCTCGCGGATGCCCGATATTACACGGTAATAATTAGATTATCGGGCCGATTATCACGCCGGCAAATTTGTTAATTGTTGTCAAATTTAGCGTCCGGCTAATGGAAAGATTAAAGCTCTTTAATCTCAATTCAATTATAGATTCTCGATCTTGCGCGATCCCTCGAGTCTGCGGGCTTCGTGTAATGAGCCTTAATAACTAGAACAGAGCTTTAAATCGACTTGTTATTAAAAATAGTGGAAATGTGGTATTTATCAAAATATTTCCAGTTTTCTTTTATCAGTTAAAAAAATAAATTAGAATCGTTTTGCGCAGCATACATACATGTTTCAAGAAATTAAACAGTAATCGGGCTTGAGGAGCAAATATTATACAAATGTTAAAGTCAGTAAATAAGACTAGATTTAATAACGTTGCAGTATATTTTAATTAAGTAACTATTAATGACTATGTGCATTATAAACTTGGTGATGAAATGTAAATGTACGTTTCTGTCCTCAACTGGACTCTCTTCAGTACAAATAAATAAATTTTAGGAAAATTAAAAATTAAAAATTACACGGGTTACGCTTAACGCAGAATGGTATCAGAGTGAACCGTATATTCGGCTATGTAATTAACGGTTTCTTAGCAGTATTAGGTGTCGACCACGTGGTGGATGTTTCCAGGACGTCTCTCCTCCTCTCATGTTCCCCGTACAATGTCTTGGCAAAGACATGCAGAAAGAAACACGCAAAGAGGCCGTGATTCTTGTAAATTCAGATTAGATCCATAAATCTATTAGTTATCAAACTATAACTCAAAAATTAAAAATTTTTTTGTCAACACTCACCACATGAAATCGATCGAATAAACTGACAATAAAGCCACAGTACATGATAATACATCCGTCTCGGAGAAAGACATTAACTAGACTGTTAGCGTCAAGGTTCAGAGATAAACAAAACGTCCAAATTCAAAACAAAATCATGACGTCAAATATAATAAAAATTTCAAGAATCTAATTTACATAATACATAATCTACTTAAATAACGAATATATTCCGGCGAGATTTAATAAACAAAAATAATTATGTAAATTAGATCTATCAAATCGAAAATATTTTTTACATTTTGATTTTTATGGGATTCAGTCTTTTCAGTAAATTTTTTCCAGCTATTTCTTAACTCTTGTCGCGAAATCCCGTCTATTCGAGTCGCAAAAGTCGCCAATAATCCAGAGTTTTGCCTTCTTTTACGAAGGCCGTGCAGAAAGCTGGCATCGGAGCTGGCATTACACAAGGTGCGCATAAAGTCTCATGAATTATCGCGTGGCTCGGCGCACTCGGCGAATGCGCCGGATTTACGTGTTCGTAGAAGCAATGCTTCTGGTATGGCCGCGGGATGGCTAGAGCTGCTGATGTAGCCTATACTTACCATCACTGAGATGATCTAGCCTTAGCCTAATCCCCACCGTAATCCAAACGGCGAAGGAGAAGCCGCAAACTCTTGTGTCGGGACTCGCCGGGGCTCACCTTCCTATTCACTCGGCGAAATGTGTTTTGTCTTCAATTTGATATACCGTTCCTCTGGCTTGACTCTCGAACATACTTTCGACGCAAGTGACGACTTAGCTTAGCTTGTTAGACGAAGACAACTCTGTTAATGTTTACAATACACTTGTATTCGTTTATAATAGCATTTAGAAGAGTGAAGAATTAATTTTCCTAGTTGATAAAAAAAAATTCTTATTCTCTTCTTCTATTAGTATTTTTGTCTGTTATAAGTATTTATATTTTTATTTATATGAGACATAAAGGAATATTAGCATTATTATAATTATTATCAATCAGTGTTTTCTTTTTCAAGCCATTAACGACTCGAACGATTAAACATAGCTTCCAAATCAGCATTTAAATAATTAGTATAACAATTGGTCACGCGAAACAATGCAATTCTTTGCTTTTTTGAAGTAGGCGGGATTATATTTTATTTCGTCCTAAGATTCACGGACACCCTATACAAACCTGATAATGATCTGGGCCTGTCGGTGTTGTGGTATTCCATGGGTAAAGACGCCTCGACCAATGGGATTGGAACGTGGGTGATTGCGATGGTGTGAGTCTTCTCCGTCGGCCGTGGGTTTGCGTGGGTTGCACGGCTTGCAGGATGCTGCATCTCTCAAAATGGTGGTTCTCCGAGACCGTATCTCTCGTAACCATGCTTTCGTACCGCGTGCACGCCATTTCACGAAATCGCAACAATATCGTGAGTGCTAAACACACGTGCACCACGTTACAACTTTTTTTTTCTTCTCTTTTTTTTACCTGTGTATCGCTTTCCGAGTATCAAGATACTCACGCTAGAAAATGATTTCCACAAAGAAATTTCCTCTTGCCATTCGCGCTTAATCGATAGACTTGCTCACCGATGCCGCAGAAACGTTGCGATACAAAGTGGAAAAATTACTAGCGAGGTGTAAAAAGAAATAATAGAAGCGATATTATTTTCCGGGAATATAGTTAACGTGGTGTGACGACCTTATCGATTACTGATCGTATGATTAGATGCGAGTGAAAAATGCAACTGTAAAACAGGACGCTTGGAAAGTTTCTAATATTGTGCGAGTTTTACATGGCTCACAAGCAGTCATGAAATAGCCGCTACATTTGTCAAATTATTATGGGATAAAAAATTAATAAATGATGCTAATAAGCACGAGATTGATTAATTAGATGTTTTAGCATAAACGAGCAATTTAATATAATTTTATACACATACATTTATTAATATAATTACTATAAAATTACAGAATCTTAAGATGCCAGCGTATAACGTTTAATTAAATCTTGTTAGAATGTATATCGATGATAAATGTATCGATAATAAATCGGTGATAAATGTAAAGTCGGACGCACATTTGAATCTTAATTAAAAGTTCATCTTGTTGCTTTTATGTACAAACCGGATATTTAAGAAAATAATTGGAATAGTAATATATAAGAGTCCACTATATTAACAAGGTGTCGAAAAGTATCTAATTTTACGCAAAATAATTGATCGCCGCGACGTGAACGTTGCTCGAGAATGATCGTCGAACGATGATATGCCGGACGATAAAAATTTCGAGAAGGAGCGCGTTTAAGGGCTGGGTAATTAAACGAGATCATCCGTGACTGGCGTTCCTGCGTGACCACCCCGCAGCAAAATATTTCGCTCAGTCTCGAACAGGTTTCCGAGAATTTTTCTTGAATTTTAATTGCGACTTATACGTATCGCGGGCAGGCACGGGGGGATAGGGCTCGTATAGATACGCTCGCTATCGAGTGCGATCGTGATGTAATACGTACGCCGTGTGTAATGGGTGTGTCGAGATTAAACCGGACCGCCGGCGCCATTCCGGGTTCGCGTTCTAAAAAATCATTTTTTTCCCCGCTGACGCACGTATCTCCGCTATTTTCTTGTAACACGCGAGAATATGGTGAAATGTGCAAAAGTTTTATGCGCAAATAAACGAGCACGCGCACATTCTTAAGATGTTAAAAGATTGCATTCGCAAAAATGCATTTTAAATGCATCAGAAGAAGAAAAGAAACAGGGTGTCTTTAAAAATAATTAATGATCACCAGGAATAAAATTACAATTCGTGGGATAATTTTATCACATTGGATGATTTTAAGTCATTTTGTAATGCAATATTTTTCTATTTTTGTAGATGTAATTTTATTAGCATCTGCTTCATCTAGCGAGTACATTAATGTCTATTATAATCACGTATTGCATACACTTGGAGCGCATAATGATATATGTTTTTCAAGTGCACAGCATTGCACAATTAATAGTCATGTTCTGTTTTCGTTTCCTTTGGCGGAAACGACGAACGTACTAATCTCAACTTTGATTAATAGCCGAGCATTTGATCTCACAGAGAAATTTGCATATTATCTATTAATTATGTAATCGTTACCATCGGGATAAGCTCCTACAAGGATGTTCTTTCAGCCATGATCATCTCAGCAAGACTTGCACATAATATCCTTGTTTACTCGCTGCGCGAGGGCACAAATCTGAAAATAAATATAATTAATCGCGGATGATTTTTGTATGATCTCGTGATTTATTGTGTGTCATTCTCAGCAGAAAACAAAATTGATGAGCCACGCCAACGTTGTGTCATTCAACGTAGCGTGTTTCTAATTTAATCACGAGTCACAGGTTGTTTATTTTATCCGATTATTTTTAGCGGAATTATTACATGGAATTTGGGTGAAGTCGACATCGATAAACCGCGCGTCTCACGTTTCCGACAAAAAAAGCAACTTTGCATGATGATTGATAAAAATACAACCGCTTCCTTTGCGCTCGCTAGATTACAATCGACCGAGGTAGTCGTGACTAGCGGCACTATCATTCGGGCTTCCCGCGGAAGCCAACTAATATCACGACATTTTCGCGAGCAAGGTCTCATTGGTATCGGTGCCGTCAAAGTCATCACAGATTTGCAAATTTGTCTCGTCTCATTCTAAATTTAAATTTAACAAAACTCTATAAAAGTGTTATGTGTTATCACGCTACTATATTATAAATATTATGCATACTTGTCATTATTCAGACGTTATCGCGTTTCGCGAAAGTTACAACTTCATCGAATTTACATTTTATGGCTGGCGTTAATATACTTCCTTGTCGTGATAAATTGGATAAGCGCTGATATAAATAAATTAAATGGCTACTTTAATCTATGCTTTTTTTTAAATAACGCCATTGGTTTCAGAAATTAAGAAATAGGCAGGTTAAATTTAATAGAGCTAATTAAATATATATGAATCTTATTAGCAAATTTTAATTTAATTTCCTCGTAAATATATATTTCTTGAATTATTTTCTTTTTACAGCGCAAGTTCTTTTTACAAAACTGGCAATTTAGATTCGATTATACCAATGCAAATTTTAACACGTAGTTTCTTTCATGTGTTACCGCGATTAGGATCGAGCGAAGTGATCGTGACTAATAGCACTATCGCTGAAACGCCCTGTAGAACACCACTAATACTTTCTCAGGCAAGGTCTTCTCCATGTCGGTTCCTTGGAAACAATTACGTCTCGTAGGTTATAATAACGAACCATTCCTCTAGAATCGTACATACATATGTGTACGTATATATGTCGTATGCACAAACATATATACGGCATAGGTGAACTGCGTTTGATCGCGAGTGTGCGAGCATCAAATGCGTACTATGAAGACGGATGGCCTCGTAAATCTATTGGCAACGTGTTCTCTCATTTTCGCATTTTCTATTTGCTTCTTTTTTAACGACTCTCCTAAAAGCCCATTCGTCTCGAGATTTATCGCCTGATTCTAAAATGCCGACGGCAACGAAAATGCTCCAGAAAACCATCATTGTTGCTCAATATTGTCTTAGCAGCCACGCAAAACGATAAAAGAAACTTATTTTTATTTCATGGGAGAGTAAAAAGTATTTGTATTTGTAAAAGTATCTGTATTTTTTGTGTCGTGCGAATGATAGCAATAAGGTATACTTAAAACGAACAAAACGCGCACATAATCGGGAGTTTTAATCTTAAATGGTAGATAATTGTTGCAAACAACCTAAGATTGATATTATTATTGATTATAAATTTTAGCAATGTTACCGAGGCGTTCCTTGGAAACAATGGGAAATTATCATGGAGCTATATAACAATAGTGTTACTTTCTTTACATCAATAATCATTGGAGTTTCTATTGCAAACCGTTTGCGTAATACCATCTAAGAAGAATCGCAATTGCAAAAGTTCGTGACATTTATCAAACAAATGAATATAATACATACCTATGAATATGATACCTCTCTATCGTCTCACTAAGCATAGAGGCGGTGAAACAAAGCGGCTAATTGGCGTAAAGTTAAAAAATTATGCGAGCCTTTTGGCATTCGGTGTCAATTCGTGTTATATGCTACAAGCTGGAACTGTCACATAATGTTGTGTGTGTCACAGTGCGCGGTTCTCTCAATAATTATTGGATGCAATAACGCACACAGGCCGCTCCGAATGTATTATTCGTGACATTTAACCGACCGTTTTTTCGTGCAGGTTTCAACGCGATGTATAATTTGCCTTGTATCATTTTTACGTATGACGTTTCTCTACTTATGCTTCAACAAACGGATTATTGCATTGTCCAATGACGATATGTTATTGGCATAATGGCGCGGACCAGCTGTCAAAAAAACTCGCATCTCCTACCCCTTCGAGAATGACGAAATTGATAGAATTGCGTCTGATAGCATACCTGTCATATGTATGTCATGTGCGAGGCCTGCATTGCATGGCGATAATTTTTGAAAAATTATGGTAGCTTCTTTCCCTCATTCTCTTTGCCATCCTGAAAAGTAATCAGGCAAATGTCATCAACGTTTTGTGAGGAAAAAAGAGATATATTTAAAATTGTTTACCTGTAAATTTTTAGTAATCGTATTTTATATCAATAATATTTTTAATATTAAAAGCATAAAATATATTATGAATTATTTATCATATATCATACTCATTTTACTCATTGTATAGCGTTTTATTAATTTAATCTTAAGCAAGAAGACATCTTTTTTTATGTGAAAGATAACTATCTATCTTTAATCAAATCGATCGGCTCTTTCGCTCAACATTTTATAGCAAAGGAATTTCAGTCTCTTCTGTTTCGTTCCCTTTTCCACGACCTAGACGCATTCTTGTCCGTCGCATTTCGACCCCCATATTTTCGCAAACACGCACTCCCGAAGAATTCTCGCGTCAATGCTGTCGACGGTGGAGAGATAAATCCTCCCTCTCGCTTCTCAGCTCGCTTTCTCAAGCTGACACTCGCGAATTAACAGATCGCACAGTGGTAATTAAACTCTCCTCTCCCCTCTCGAGAATTTGAACGCTCCACGCCAGGACGGTTCCCATGGTTGCGCTATGGTGTCCACGTCCGGGAAGAACGGCGAGCGAGTAATAAAAGAACACAAGCAGGATGCTCGCGAGGGGATGAGGCACGAGTATCATCGACAACCCCGGTGCACACGAGGAGGATCTTCTAGTTGCGGCGGGGTCGTGAGACCATCGAAAAAAGAAAAGAAGAAGGAGCCGCGAGAGAGGAAGAAACGACGGCGGACCCGGCGAGGATGCTGCGTTGGTTCGCAGAGGGCAATATTTACGAGAGGGGTTGGGTTCTACGAGTTTCTCAGCCACGGAACGTAATTGCACTGGCTGGGGTACTCTGATTTATTGGGTTATTACTGATCTCGGTGCAAAAAGAGCGCGTGGTGTATGGGCTTTCTCGCCCGCGCGGGTCCTTCGCGATCTCTTTCGAGCAAAATGGCTGGGAAGAATGCGCTGAATACGCAAGTTTAGAAATTTAATAAAAAAGTCTGCTTGAAATTCTAGAAGAATTTCTAGAAGAAAATGTCAGAGATACATAATCGTGCATTAGTTTCATGTCATCAAAAAGTAAAGATGTCGCGAGAACTAAATCATTCATATCTCGATATATGTTAATCAGAATCATAATCATATAGAGAGAACACGAATTGACATTATTTGCTTATATATCTGCAGCCTGATGACAGTTGAGTGATCAAAATTGCAGGGCTATTAAACCACATTACCTTCGAATAATACCGTATCATTTAACTCCTAATAATGCTTCATCTTCCTTGATCGTGCTCTATGTACGCTTTATACTTACTATTTAGTGTCGATTTCTAATCAATTTGTCAAATATAAAAGTGACTGTTGAACGACAATAAAATTTCCCGACAAGTTTGTACGTTATGTTAATATACAAATTATACTATTATGTATCCTTCCAAGAAAAAATAATTGTACAGCTACTAGTAAGGCCAGTTTCTTTCCTTTCGATTTCTTGCAATGATCTATATCTCGCGTCGATTTTTGCACAATAATTATTAGTTACAAAATATCTATCTTTGTATCGGTACCAGTTTGCATCCACATGAAACATCACGAAAGGATCTGGATCGACGTATAAAAAAATGGAGCGAAGTGCGGCGTTGAGTCTGCCTAACATCAAATCTCGCATTGCGGCGCGTACGCCTTCGCTTTTACACGTGGCAAATAAAACCAAGAGTCAGTCGACATCGAAATTATACGTATAGATGGCATTGATGTATGGCTGAGCGGGTTTTGATAGACCCGACGGAGCCTTGCGGCCGAGTTATAATCGCGCCGCATCGCATCGTTTTCTCGCCAAGCCAGAATCCTCTATTTTGAACCGCGCCGTGGTGAACGTTAATGTCTGCTATTCGTACCGCAAGATTCAGCGAGATCATTTGGATTTCCACCCCCGCTCCCCCATTTTTAGATTATAATTATTTATTACTAGAATTTTTTTTAATCATATATTCTGGTATTTTGAATTTAGTTATTGTACGTTAGAAAATATTCGTTTTTCTAGTGTAATAATATATCGATAATTAATTCAACATAATCGAGACATAGTATTTAAATTTTGGACTTATTTATTACTTTTTTAACTGTTTAAGAAATGTGCATCATATCGATGATGAAACAATATTTAATTTTACAGTAATGTATCAGTATTTGATACGCATAATATTGCAACGTTTATTAAACATAGTTACACAGTTTATTAAAATGCCCGTCTTGCGTGCCGCAAAACGGTAGCGGTAAATATTTAATTAATTAAGCTCGACTTGATTATTTCCCTGGGATTATCAGGGGACAAAAATTGTCAGTCGATTTATTAACAGACATTGTCATAGATTTCCGCTCGAAAAATCATCGAAAAAACATTCACGACTTGCACACATGTATATAAATACGTAATGCTCTCTAATTCATGTCCCTTAGCTTTACTAACTCAGGTAGTTGCATATGCTGATGTACGTAAATCAGTCTTGAATATTTTAATCCGTTGCGTGATATAAGAAATGAATTTCGAGGCGTCGCTGATTCGTGAATTCCGATACAAAGTTGTTTTTTGCCTGCGTGCCTAGCACGGTCGCGAGTCGGGAATGGGTAGAAGCACAACCTCGGCCTCGGGATATAAATCTTCCGCCGACAGATGTACCGCCCTCGACGTTCTGCATCGACCAACCAACCGACCAGAATTTCTGAGAGTAACGCCCTGAAAAACCAGACTCACCTTGGATACCCATTGCATTTGCATGTCATTTCGAAAGCAACTGCACCCCGCGACCGAGAGTAGCCAAGAAATGCAAGAAAACCCCCAAGAGCGACCTTTTCATCTCACTTTTCTGCTCAAAAAATTTATCGTTCCCTAAATTTACGTGTAACGTTGCACGATGTAATGTATTTTATCTAGTGCGCTTGATCTGTGGATTTTTAGCTGGAACAGAATTATCCTGATTGTTTGTTAACGTTTCAATTCTTATATTTAATCTCGTAATTGAAATTTTCTTGAGATGAAGTATGATCTTTTATATTCAAGTAAATCTTTCATCGGTCGGTTCCAAGAAAGAATTGATGCAGCCTAATGTACTTTATAAAATATTAATTATGCAGAGAAGCTACACAAATATAGACAACAATGCTTTGGTCAGGAACATGAGATAAAATGTAATAATGAAGAATCGAGAGATAATTCTGAGACATGCCGAATTTAATGGGATTAATAAAATAAATATCGTTGAGCAAAAATTACCTTTGATAACGATGTGTTGTATGACTTAAGAATTCCCAGCGATTGGGGATTTCAGCCTTTGCTATACCTGCATTCGTGACGATTCACGCCGTCGGCAAACATGGTATGCGTATGCGATAGATCGTCTTGGTATTGTAAGCACCCTCGATTGCACACACACATCAATGTACATACGATGTATAACGAGTTTTTCTTGAAGATATGTGGATGCTAGGCACGCAAACCTAGACTCCTTTAAAGATGGCGAACATCTCGAATCACCCTTGGGATATCCAATGGATATTGGAAAAAAGTTTCTGAAGGAAACAGTGGTTACGATTTTTTAAATCTTAGAACATTCTCATAAAATAATTAATATACCACATATTTACGTAATAATTACGTCCAAGATGACAAAATATTTATAGATATCTAAATATTTGATGAAAAATGTTAAGAAAATAAAATAAAAAAAATATAAATGTGCGTGGAAACCAGTGATGATACATAAGAAAAGTGAAGTAGATATTTTTTCTCTAACAGTTGACATTCTCTAAAATATTTAAATAGAGAAATAATGTATATGAAGAACTAATCGGTCTAAATTTTAGCGTGTTTCACGAAGATCGGAGCACGTTATACGAGCAGAGAATATTGTATGGTTACTGGCATTCTTTTCGCGCCAATAGCGCGGAATCTCGTTCTCTCCTCGCCACTCTCAGCCCTGCCATTGTACAACGAAGCAGAGATCGATGAATATTCACGAGGAGAACGAGCCCGATCGCTCTTCCTCGCGACGGCCCTGACTTATGTCTACTGTCGGATTTTTCATTATGCCATCGTGCTTGCCTGAGATTTAATACGGACGTAAGGCTTCCTGGGGGCCCGCACCATCATAATTCTCTTCCCTCGGCTCCGACATGTACTTCTTACTGATATTACCCCGCTTATTTTAGAAAGATTTCTACGATGTACTCGATAACAATGTACGTATTTGTAATCTTATAAGATTTTTCAAAGGAATCTTTCTCAAGCTCTGTAAAATATATACTTCCTGTCAAGTCCATAATCTTCAATAAACAGGAATTTAATTTCATTATAATAAAAGTTTGATGCGAGACGAATTTTTTATTCACAGCGTTCTCATTTGTGATATTAGATATTTTAATAATTCGCATTTTAAATTTATGTAAAATAGTCTCTTTAAAAAATTAAATAACATAGACAAACGTTATCTACACTGGCATCAAGATTGAACATGAAATGCGGAATTCCATTACACTTCGAAGGCCGTTAGACGCTCTGCTCTCGCCATTTCGCAAAACGTTACGAAATTTTCGTGCGGCTCACGATCACGTTCGGCGAGGGCTTAAGGTCCAGCGTCGGGCCCTGGAGGTCGTGCATCACCAGAGTCTGGCAGGATAATAGCTCCCTCTTTCGTGGAGTCTTATTGTCGGACCATGCACCAAGTGATTGATAGGCACCGAACCATAGAGCGGAGCGAGCCACGATATTTCGAAAGCTGCACGCGCGGGAAGCAGAGAAGCGATGCCGAGGGCTCGTGATGCGAGGAACGCGCGAATACGCTTGTACGCGGAAACTCGCGTGAGAATCCCACTGTGTTCCGGCCGAGTCCGCGCAAGCGGACTCGGATGCAATCTTCCTGAATCACGGTCATGAACTTCCTACGTGGAGCGATCAAGGCCGCTACTTTTGCGGCGGAT